TGGATGAGTTCAAGTACATGCAAACAATAGGGTTTGCACTATAATTCTTGGTGCCCTCAAGAAGTCATACCGCAGAGTAGTCTACAACCGGGCAATCCAAGCTTAATGTTTTCCCAGTACAGCAGCTTTGAAATGGTATCGTGTCTCTCGACACTTATTTTCTTCCACTCATAGGGATTTACATAGTTTAAAAGTTTTACAAATAACCTGAATTTTCACTGAAATTGTGACATCAAAGTATTTCACATTTGCATATTTAAAGTTGACCCATGATGGCAGCTGTGGACAGTAATAGGCAAAGAAGATGAGCTATAGTAGCAAAGTTCAGTGTAAACTCACGTGCTCTAGCAGCCAACAGAACTGGAATCCAGGAGAACGAAGAAATGTGGACCATGTCTTGTTTCCTTGGTGTTTGGTAGCCAGTTTGTCTTCCTATGTCTGCATCGAGCCTCTCCCTCCATGATTGCTTCTGTGTTGACCTTCTGAAGTACATTGAAAATTAATACTCATTATGATATTGAAATTATGACCATGACGGATCTTTAGGAAGTAAATAGAGGGAGGCTGGGGATAAAGTGTGGTAGAGAAGTGCTTGCCATACAAGCATGAAGACTGGGTACTCGATCTCCAGTACTCACATAGGAAACGCTTGCAGGTGAGACAGTATGTGCTTGTAATGGTAATGCTGAAACTTGACTACAAAAGGCTCCCTGGGGTTTGTTGGCCAGTCTAGACAACTGATACCAACCTCTGGCCTCCACATGCATGTGCACATACGTACCAGCATGTACACATACATATACACATATATATACACAGAGGTGATTAAAGCTCTATTCTCATACATGGATGTGTCTGTTGATATAATGAATGAATTAATGGCCAGTGGATTCTTTCAAGTGAATTCAGTATACAGCTGCTTTGGCTGGGGCAGTTGTGTATCCCTTTCACTCTCCATGCAACACCTTACATACCCCCAGACTCTGCCAGCAAGAAGCCCATTGCCAGACGCAGCCTCTTGACCTTGGATCAGAATCAGAGCCTAGCTAAGGTTCATCTTTGTAACTCACCTAATCGATACTATGTTGATAGCAATGGAAGACCAAGACAACTTCCATTCATTTATTGGATCCCATCATCCATTCTTATGGTTCTCCTCCCTTTCCCAAATCTCCTGATACCTCACCCCCACCCTAATTTCATCACGATGCTCTTCCTGCTTTAATTGGAGTGTTCCATTTTTAACATGCGCTTTAGCCCTTTCACAGCAGAGGCTTCCCAGAGATGACAGTCGTCAAGAAGGTGGCCTCTCCACACAGCCCACACAGGTCAGCTAGCCTAAGAATGTGACCTGTGTCTCACCATGAGGAAATGCTTTCCTCTGCTGATGCTGCAACAGTATAACTTCTCATGTCTGCTTCACATGTGCTTTCAAGAATAAGCAGGTGTCTTACTCAGTGGAGGGAAGTGTCTTTTCTCACAGCCCTAGAGGAGGGGGGTCCAAGCATAGGTTAATTCTGCTGGGAGGTGCTCTCTTCCTTGCTCATGGTGGCTTCCGGGGCAGATGGGACAGAGATCTCCTTATAAGGATACTTCCATCATGGCAGCACCACCATTTATGACCTTACCTCAACCTCAGGACGTCCCAAATGTCTGCTCCCAAATACTATCACTTTGAGACGACCAGCTTCAAAGCAGGAATTTGGAGATTAGTTCATTTCTTAACAGTGGGCGTTGAAAAAAAAAAATGTGTGCCTCGTGAGATTTTTTTTTAAGTATAAAGTGATTTGCAAATTTAAGATTTCTTTTTAAATTAATATTATTACTTTTTCTGTCAAGTTTCTAAACATTTCCCCAGAGCCCTGGTTTCTAAGGAAACCAAATTCTTCCTGAGCGGTATTCAGAAGTAGAACTCTGGTGCAATGTGATGTTTGGGATGTCAAATCTTAAATGTCCAGCTAGTGAGGCCTGTGACAGCAGTTGACCATCCACTGATGCTGATGCTCCAGCTTCCACTGCACCTCTGTCCCATGGCCATGCACATATTTTCATTTTAGAGAATCCATCAAGACCTTAAATATACCACTGTAGAAAAAGACCTCCCGAGAGTAGGAAGCCGGGCAGATGGGGCTCAAGGGAGGCTGTAGCAGGAATCTTAACAGTTCTTATTAATAAGATCAAACCTGTGGCCAATTATTGGGGTGAACACTGGAAGATCAGAGAGACAGAACAAGCCACAGCTACCTCACCTGGCCAACTTCTCAGCTGGTCTTGTTTCCTCAGACTGGAAGCCTCTGTGTCCTCATATCCGAATGGCTCTCAGCTGAACTGTGCTGCTAGAAGCCTGAAAGCTTAACCAGCCAAATGCTTAACCAGCCAAATGCTTCTAGTTTCTGGCCCTCACGCCTTATATACCTTTCTGCCTTCTGCCATCACTCCCTGGGATTAAAGGCTCGCTTTCTGGGATTAAAGGCATGAGTCACCATGCTTGGCTGTATCCTTGAACACATGGATTTCTGCATCTGGAATGCTAGGATTAAAGGTGTGTGCTACCACTGCCTATCCTTTATGTTTAATATTGTGGCTGCTCTGTCTCTGACCCCAGATAAGTTTATTAGCATGCACAATATTTGGGGGAATACAATACCACAGGAGGCAGAGGAGCGGGCAAGGTTGGGTTGTGGAATGCCTGGCCAGGAGGTAAGATGGTGGGAGGGGTAAGGACTATTGCCTGTCCTCCAGCAGCTGCAGAAGAGACAAAGTGGTGACCAGCTGGCCATCGATGGGAGGGCGCCACTGGAAGGTGGAGCAATGTTAACAGATGAGCAAACTTACCCCTTTGTAGTTGGTGCTCCTTAGCTACCACCAAGTGCATGGGCCCATGCTGATGAGTAGTGGGCACCCAGGAAAAGCTGAATGAGTGTTGAGTAAATAATGAGGTGAGTGCCTGCAGGGCATCCATGCTCACCTTTCCACACTGCTGCAGTCCTCCTATGGTAGTACATCCCCTGGTTCTGCAGAGGGTAAGATATTGAAATCCATTGGGGCTCTAGAAACCCCTTGCATTTCTAGAAAAACAAAGAATATAGAGAATTTGGTATCGCTTGCCAAGACAGGATGTCTGGGGAGCTTGGTTCACTGCAGGATAGATTGTTTAGACGACATGGTTGTCAGGAAATACTGCCATCTTGGTTGTTTTCCTGTCTTTTCACTCTTTGGTTGTTTTTTTATTTCTCCTGAGTGCCTTTCCTTCTAGATTGTCAGTTTGCTTTGCAAGGGAAACATTCTCCAAGCACATTATTGCTTAGAACAATGACAGGTAATAGAATAAAACTCCGAAACACAGGTCTTTTATAGCTGCAGTTGTTTTTATTGTCATTATTAGCTTTTTACAGAGACGGTTTCAGTGGATCCATTATTGCACATTAATTGCCATGACTTGCAGAAAGTGAATCATATCTTCGTGTCTTGTGTGTGCACTGCTAACATCTATCTTTTGTTGTATTAAAACTGTAAAAACAGGAGTTGTTTTAAAAGCTGGTTTATGGTTTTAATATTTCTAAGAAATATATGTTTTATGTGGTTTTGGAAATTTGGATTTTTTAATAGTATGTCCCTTGAGTTTCTTTCCACAATGCCTTAATTATTTAGGTAGAGCACTGTTCTTTAAGTGATACATGCATTCTCAAGCTTTGAAGGTAGTTGGTTGTTTCTGTTCTGCCTGCTCTGTCTTGTTGATTCATCAGGGTTGTAGCAGCATAGAGTGGCAGGGTGAAAGGTGTGAAATGGCAGGGTCAGAGCCAGCATATCTACCTGCCCTTAACTATGGCCGCCACAAGTTCTCATTTGGATGTATATTGAAAACACCAAACCCATCAAATGAAATATAAAACTCAAAGTAAATTAGAATGAATCGTTGTCACCAGCTCCATATCCGAGCTGTGTGATGCAGTGCCCTCCTTTTCATTATTTTATTTTGAGTCGGAATCTCACCATGTAGCCCAGGCTTGCCCCAAACTTGCCACCTTCCTGCCTCCGCATCTCAAGTCTTGGTTTTGTAGGTATGTGTCACCATGCCTGGCATAGTGCCTTTCCCCGTCCTCGTTCTTTTCTGTAAGTCCCCAGTGCTTTGAGAGTCTGATAACTTTGAAGGGTGCACAACTACTCATTGCTGAAAAGAGTTGATTAGATTCATCCACTCGTTTACATCAGGAGAAAGGCCAAGGTCCAAAGATCTAAAAGGCACTCATGTACCCAGTGTCTTAGGGCCTAACATTGACCAAAACTCCAGACCCCTGCTGGGAGGCCAGTATATTGCCCCCAATACTGCCTTGTCATGTAAGACCTCCCCAACCCCTACACACAAACATCAGTCCAGTATCATCTGCTTGCTTATATTAGATGGTGCTTAGTCAGGGAGGCCATTTCGACTTTATATTTTCACAGAAGAATAGATAATAGAGGCCAAGGTCAAGAAAGACTTCTTAGGAATGGCTATGCCACAGTCTTGGGGGCTGTGTGTGTGTGTGTGTTTCTACTTTCCTTTTATTTTACCCATATTTACTGCTGTGACATAGGTACCTTTTCTAGGGATTGCTCCAGGGAAAATTGTTGGGCAAACTCTAAATTGAGAATTGGGTTCATATTTTAAATTTACTTTTAAAAACAAAGTTTGCGGACTGGAGAGATGGCTCAGTGGTTAAGAGCATTGGCTGCTCTTCCAGAGGTCCAGAGTTCAATTCTCACCAACCAAGTGGTAGCTCACAACTATCTCTAATAGAATCTGATGCCCTCTTCTGTCATGCAAGTATTCATGCAAATAGAGCATTTATATACATAAAATACATAAATCAATAAAAAAAGAAATGCCAGGCCAGGTTTAAAAAAAAAACAACAACAAAGTTTGCTCTTTTATCCTACTGATAACTCTGAGTGATGATTTTGCCTGCATCATTCAGCAGTCCTCCCAGTCTCTAATGCCTTATTTATTTGTTCCACAGCGTGTCCGGTGGAGAACTCTTTGATCGGATAGTGGAGAAGGGATTTTACACAGAGAAAGACGCCAGCACTCTCATCCGCCAGGTCCTGGATGCTGTGTACTATCTCCACAGGATGGGCATCGTCCACAGGGACCTCAAGGTGAGGCGTTGTTCTGCAATACCATCCAACTATTCCACAACCCACAATGTACCTGCTGGAGAGGGCTGGCTATGGGGAAGGAATGAGGCTGCTTTGAGAAGAGATAGGTGGAATGGGCGGCCATCTACTTTTTGGGTGTCAGTGCATTAAGGCCAGAAGTAGTTTAAAAGAGAATGAAGATCAATGTAGCTAGCCACCATTTACAAGATTCTGTAGCCATGAGGCAGCCCACAGGTCCATAGAGAGGTGGTTGTGTATTAATTCAAGAACTTTGAAAAGAGCATTCTGTACATGGCAGGAAAACCATAGAGACCCTTCATCCCCAGTGCTGGTTAGGTTGTGTGTGTGTGTGTGTGTGTGTGTGTGTGTGTGTGTGTGTGTGTATGGCGGGGGGCAGGAAAACCATGGAGACTCTTTATTCCCAGTGCTAGTTAGGTTGTGTGTGTGTGTGTGAGGGGGTATGATTTTGTTTGTTTGTTTTGTCAATTTGACACAAGCTAGAGTCATCAGAAAAGAGAGAACCTCAACTGAGATAATGTCTCCATAAGAACAGCCTGTAGGCAGGACATGGGGGCAGTGTGATCAATGATTAATGTGTGAGGGCCCAATCCACTGTGGGCAGTGCTACCTCTGAGCAGGTGGTCCTGGGCTGTAAGAAAAGTGAGCCGAGTGAGCCATGGAGATCAAGCCAGTAAGCAGCACTCTTCTATGGCTTCTGAATTGGTTCCTGCCTCCGGATTCCTGCCTCCAGGTTCCTGCCTTGAGTTCCTCCCTGACTTCCCTCAATGATAGACTGTGACCTGGGATTTGTAAGATGAACTCAAGCCTTTCCTACCTAGGATACCCCAGTGGAGCTCTTCAGGGCCATGTCCCACATCCAGCCCTTTATAAACACAGTAGCCATATATGAAAGAGAGGGAAGAGCAGGGAGAGTGTGGGGTACAGGAAGAAGGTTGGCACTGCAGTAGGTACTGTAAATGAGCTTACAGGTACAGCTGTCCTCTGGTGTCCTGAAGGTCCCTTTCCCCTCCTCCCTCTCTCCTCTTCCCTCCTCCCATCTTCCTTCCTCTCCTCCTCTCTTCCCCTTCATTCACAGTCTCCCCCATTTCCTTGTTTTCCCTCCTTCCCTTCCTTCCTGTTGGTTTTGTCTGGTTGCTTTTTAAATAGAATTTTACTATACAGCCGAAACTGACTTCAGCTCTCTGGCTTTCACCTCCTGGGTGATGAGACTGTAAGTCATTGTCTTTTCTGAGGTGTGAGTATAGTGATTCTTCATCTATTAGCACTGAAGAGTTTGGGCCTTAAAGTGGCCACCTTAGTGTCCCATTCCCTTCCCCTCACCCGGATTTTAGTAGCTGTCACACACAAAACTGTGAAGTTAGTGAGAGCAGCGCTGTTGAGCCCAGGTTGTGGTGTGACTTCATGCTACAGTGTTACAGGTCCAGCCTCCATACCCTACTGTGTGAGTGGGACCGATGTCCACCCCCTAGCACATATGTGCACCACTCAATATATAAACACAAGGATGACTTGCAAGCATGCTGCCCTTAGCAGGAAGTCAGCTAGAGTCAACTATAAACATTTGTTAAACAGAAGTGGAGCATCTCTCCATCATCTGCTCTTGGGTATCAAGGAGTATAATGGCATAGCTTTCCCTTCATGAAGACTCCCGTTTGGGTTGGGGCGTGGCTTGGTGGCTGAGCACTTGCCTAGCATGTTCAAACTCTAGGTTCCATGTCCAGCACCACAACATTTTTTATTAATCATTTTTTTCATTTATATTACATACCAACCAGAGTTTCCTCTTCCCTCTTGCCTCCCATCCCCACCCCCACCCCGCGCCTCCCATCTACCCCCTCCCCATCTACTCTTCCTCCATCTCTGTTCAGAAAGAGGCAGGCCTCCCATGGGCGTCAACAAAGCATGGCACATTAATTTGAAGCAGGACCATTTTTTTTTTTTTTGAGACAGGGTTTCTTTTGTGTAGCTTTGGAGCCTTTCCTGGAACTCACTCTGTAGCCCAGACTGGCCTCGAACTCATGGAGATCCACCTGTCTCTGCCTCCCGAGTGCTGGGATTAAAGGCATGTGCCACCACTGCCCGGCTGGGACTATTTAAAAAAAAATCAATTTAAAAAGAAAAGATGTACTCTGGAGTTTTCTCTTTTTCTTTCCATGTATCATTTTCTCTCATCATTTTTCTGGTTCAATTTTTCCCCTTTCCATAGTCATCTTAGGACCTTCTAGAGATCTCCTTTCAGAGATGTGAAATTGTTAACCTCAATCAGTGTTGGAGAGGTGTGAGGAGGTCAGTAAGAGCTCTGTGTTCTGGCTCTGCCCATAAGGACTCTGATCAAGCAGGTCTGCAGAAGACCCATGAATTTGCCTTTCTAGTGAGTGGTAATGCCTTTCAGGTGACAGTGAGGCCAGTCTGGGGACCTGGCTTGAGGAAACACTAGAGAAAGAGACATAGGGATGTCAACAAGCCCTTCTGGCCTTTGTTATCTTCTTGCTAGCAAATGGGCTGTGAGTATGATGAGCTCATCCTTGGAGCCCCAGGCTCTGCTGGGTAAGAGAGAAGCTAGGTCAGCCAGCCCAGCGCCTCCCTCCATGCTGAGCAGCACTCCTTCTCTGCTCTTTTGTGCCCCGCCACATGCCACGTCTGTGCTTTGAACCTACAGCTGTTGCTATCTAGCCGTTGCTAAGCAAGTTAGCGCTTCGACTTCAGAGAGGCGGTGTGCAGGGCCGTCGGCACTTCCTAGGAAAATAAGTTATAAACAATTCAGACGTATGCAGGAAGAGCGGTGTTTGTGTCCCTCTTAAAAAGTGGGTCGCCGAGACAGGAGACCATGTTCCACTTCTACCTAGAGCTGCTGACAAGCACTTGCAGGTCTCAGCCTGGGGAACTTCGGGAACACAGGGCCCTTCCGGAAGTATATCCCATGGCAATCAAAAAGAACGGGGAAGATGATTTTGACAACTGGGCTTACCCTTGTGGCAGAACACAGTGGCTGCATTAGGATTTTTGTGTGATCTCTTTTCAGAGGCTCCAAGGAGTTTCATCCATGTGGTGTTAAATTTTCATCAACTCCTGATAACATGAAGGCCACCCAATCTAAGCTACAGCAACAGCCAGCCTGTGGTGCTAATGAAAGCCATATATAGGGTCTGCGATGCTACCCTAACCCATGATCAAACATGCCCTCTTCTCCTTCCAAATAGATGTTCATATGTGGGCCCTAGGAAACCACTAGTGACAACCCAGTGCTCTGTTTTGTTAAAGTACAGGGAGTGAGAAAGGAAGTGTGTATGACTCCCACATGGATCTTGGATGGATTCCTTAGCTCTGCCTTATTGGTATTTAGAGATGGAGGACCCTGTGTGGGAAGCAGCCCTGGGCCCTGCAGGCTGTGTAGCAGCTCCCTTGAATTCTGCCCTCTAAATTTCCAACACCCTTCCTGGAGGCATAGAAATGAAAATGTCTCTAGGCTTTGCTGAATTTTGTCCATGGAGGGACAAAACTGCCCCCTCTTGAGACGACTGGATTCATTGTGTTGCTCTATGCAGCAGTAACTTTCCCAGAAATGTGTTGAATGAGATCTTTTTAAGGATTATTATGTAAATTATTACCAAGAAGGGAACTTCATAGTCTAATTTGAATGTTAGCCCACAGTTGTCTTACAGAAATGCCATAATACGCAGCAAAATAATTTTTCAGGTGAGACCAGGCCCTTCCAAGGGTCCCCTTCTGTCAGGAAGAACTGTGATGCAGAACATATGCTCTTTGTGGCCTTCACACCCACAGCCTTCATACTGCTCCTGATGACCCCTTAGGTCATCCCTTGGCCACTTCAACTCTGCCTCTCTACCCCCACCTGCCAGGAAAAGCCTTGTTGCCATTACCAAACCTTGAGACAACTCAAAGTATTGATCCCAACAGTGAATATCTAGCTGCTTTAACCCTCTTCTGAGATAATTGTTCAGGAAAGCATCTTACTGGCCAAAATGAACCACCTGTGGGGTTAGGTGTGTGTGTGTTGGGGGGGGGAGGGTGCTTGGCAATCTCTTGCCTGAGTTGAACTTCCTTTGGTAGCATGAGTCACGTGCTTATCTCTCCAGCTGTAGAAATCCTGGGGCAAGGAAAAGTAAAAGCCAGTGGTGGTGAAATAGAGCCCTCTCTTGGTATCTGTAACTGAGTCTTGCAGTTCATTAATGGATAATTCCTAAACCCCATGCATTTTACGACAAGAGGCAGCCCCTCCCCCGTTTCCCTAGCATTTCAACTGTTTCAATACAGACTGGCCCATTTCATTTTCCTTGCAAAGCCCCCATCAGCATCACTTGATTTCCTTCAAATCTCACTCTTCACAAAATTGTCATGGTGACTCCCGACTCCAATTGCTCTTTGTATCACTACTGCAGGTGACTGAAAATATTTTTCCCTTTGGATTCTGTTAAAGGGAAGAAAAATGTTTTGACATTTGTTGCAGCAAGAAAGAAGCCTTTTTTGAGACTGCTGCCGTAGGGGAGATAGATTGAGCCCAGCTCTGGCTCTGAGCACAAGAAGAAAAAGTGGTACTTGGAGTAGAGCAGGGCTGGGATGGAGGAGAGCACAGGGACCTGCAGGATTGCTAAGAAGGACTGGGTAGAGCAGGGGTGGGGTGGAGGAGAGCACAGGGGCTGCAGGGTTGCTAAGAAGGACACTGGGTAGGTGATTCAGTCCTCCAAAGGCTCGCTCTACAAGCATGAAGACCTGAGATGGATTTGGTCCCCAGCCCCACATAAAGAAGCCAGGCATGGCAATGCACACCTGTAACCCAGCACTGGGGAGGCAGAGACAAGAGGATCCCTGGAGCTCCCTGTCCAGCCAGGCTGAGCCCAGTTGGCAGCCCCAGATTCAGTGGAAAGAGCCTGTCTCAAAAGAAAAAAAAAAGTGAAAAGCATTTGAGGGAGATCCTCAGTGTTGACCTCTGGCCTCCACATGTTCCAACACTTCAGCGCGCACGCGCGCGCGCGCGCACACACACACACACACACACACACACACACACACACACACACAAATAATTTTTTAAAGGAAATTATTAAGAAGAGACATCAGGAGTCTTGCTAAGACAGCCTAACAGTGCTGAGGACTAGGGCATTGCTGGATGTAGCTCAGTGGTAGAGCCCTTACCTAGCACATCCAGGGCCCTGGGTTTGACCCACAGTGTCATAAAATAATAAATAAATAAGGAGGATAAAATAATAATTAAAAAAAGAAATAAAGTGACCTCACAAGTCTCTTGCTAAAGGCAGACCAAGGACTCATACATGGACAAAGATTCTCCTCTTTGATCCAAATTGATAAGAATCATCTTAGATCTATTGAACACAAGATATCCCCGGATATCTGACCAAACCTCTTATCTCCCACCCTCAATACCGTGTCACCCTGTCTAATGCCTGAAGCAAAAGTCCTATCAAGTTGGCCTTGCCACTGTCCGCCTTACTTCCTCACAGTTCTTCCCCTGACTGTCCTCCAACCTGCCCGTGGCTGAAAATTGCCACTTAGCCTCTGTAGCACTGGACTTAAATCAGGTCCCTCTTCCTGTAAAGCCCCAGGGTGCTAGTGAAGAGTACGCATTGCCCTTCAAAATGTCAGAGTAAGTGTTTCTTTAACAGCATCAGAAGCACCAGAGGAAGAACTTGGTCATATTTCAGGGGTGGGGATTCCCTCTAAAGTGAGTTCACTTCATCCATGCTGAGACTGTGCTTGGCTGGCCTGGCTAGAGAAAGAGGAACTTGAGAGGCCAAGGTCAAGGCTTTGTTCTGAAGAGGGCTCAGAGGATCTTGGCCAAGGTTTGGTCAAGGACAGAGTCTTGGACAGTTCTTACAGTTTCTTCATAGCAGAGACTGCATGGCAGAATTCCTGCCCGCAGAGGTCCACTCCCACCCCGTCTCAGATCTACCAAAGGATGTTTCTCCTCTGTTTAATATCCTCACAGGTGAACAGTTAATGATGGTATACAAAAGACCAAGAAACACTTTCTAGACAAGTTTTGTCACTCTATTTATAATAATTCCTATAATTCAATGTGTAGCAACCAAGATTTGCCCCAGAAGCCTGACAGGAGAATATGGCTTTATCCTGGGACTGGGGGGGTGGGGGTAGCCAGTCTGGAAATAGGGTGAGAAAATGATCTTCCATGCAAGATCATTCTGCTCTCATTCTTTTAAGGTTTATTGTAGACAAGAGCCACAAGTACTTATTCACTCACTAAATCTTCAGAATTGTCCTGGTGGTTAGATGTTCCAGGACTGTCCTGACAACCATTCCCCTGAGAGATAGCATCAACTGAAGCCACACAAAAAGTAAAGGATAAATAAAAATACATGTTCGTCTTCCGTGTTGAGTTTCCCAGCCCCGTGGAGCTGGGGCTAGCCTGGGGCAGGTGCATCGTGGTACCCATAAGCCCCACCCCAATCCTTGCTAGCACCAATGACAATCGCCAGGTTTGCCTAAAACTCCATGTAAATAATATTTCATTGTCTGCCCCAAGGAAGTCCCTCCTATATGTCACTGATATTGCAAAAATCGCAGTGAAGATATGCCGAGCACCGAGATATATCCCTGTAATCCCAGGAGGCTGAGGCAGGAGGATGATAAGTTTGAAGCCAGTCTGGATCCCACAGCAAGTTCCAGGCCAGCGTAGACTACATAATAAGATCCCGTATCAAAGCAAAACGACACAGACAACCAAACAAACAAATCAAAGACTGCAGGTCTGGAAGGTAGACTGAGACCTCTGTTGTGTGGAACCGCCATGCAAGCTCTCCCTGTGCACAGGGGTCACAGGAAGACACTGTGGCCTGTGCTTGACAGAAAGGCAGCCAGAAGAGAGGCATCTGCAGGCACATGACAAGGAAGTGCCGCCTTTTTTCATTTCCAAAGTTCTTCTCCTTCCCCTGAGAGGGGTGTGAGCAGGTAGCAGATGATCTCAGCAAGGTGCACCCCATCTGCCAGGATTGCAAGACATGGCGGGACAGCCAGGAGAGAGCCTTGCATCACAGCAAAGTAACCTGCAAGTGTCTCTGGCTTAAAAAGAAAGAAAGGAAAGGAAAGGAAAGGAAAGGAAAGGAAAGGAAAGGAAAGGAAAGGAAAGGAAAGGAAAGGAAAGGAAAGGAAAGGAAAGGAAAGGAAAAAAGAAACTCATGAGAACCTGCAAATCCTGCAAACGTGGTTTCATCTCTGGGGAATCCTGTTCCCCTAGCCAAGAACTGAAATGACAAGGTCTGAGAGCCATTGGCTTCTTAGGTTCCCTCAAAATGTGGTTTTCATTTCAAAGAGGCAAAACTACTAGCCAAGGCAAAGAATGACATTGAAAACTTGCTTGTGCCAATGCTCTGCAGGGCCCTCCATGGCCTGCTAAGTGAGCACTGCTGTTTTAATTGACATCTGTTCACGTAGACATTGTCTATATTAAAGGTCAAGGTTGTTCTTAATTGTGAGACTTGATGAGTCTCCCTAAGTAAGGTGGCTTTAAATGTACCTGCTGTTCAATTGTTTGCTTGCTTGTTTCCAGTTCTGGGGATCGAGTCCAGGGCCTCTTGTATGTTAAGCAAGCCCCCTACCACTGAGCTACATCCCCAGTCCTCATTTTATTTATTTGGAGAGTCATGCTCTCCCAAGTAGTTGGGCTGTAGGTCTATACTCCAGTTTCAATTTACAATCTCTAAGCTGTCTTTGTTTTGTTTTTGTTTTTTTTCTAGCCTGAAAATCTCTTGTACTACAGTCAAGATGAGGAGTCCAAAATAATGATCAGTGACTTCGGTTTGTCAAAAATGGAGGGCAAAGGAGATGTGATGTCCACGGCCTGTGGGACCCCAGGCTACGTTGGTAAGAACAGTGTATGTGCAAGTGCATGCGTGTGTGTACCCACAAAGTTGGGGTGTCTCCATGGCAATGTCATCATCTTCATCCTGAAGCACTGGAGCCCGGCACATATTACAACTGCCTGCCTTTCTCTTGAAGGAAAGATAAAAATACCAAGAGACACCATAGCAAGTTAGCAGTGAAGTGGTTTCCATGAAACCTTTTAGCAGTTGGGTGGAAATCCTGTTTGATTTGGTTGTGGGCCCGACTAGAGTCTGAGAGCAAAATGGGATGAATTCCCAGGTTCTAATACCAGAATTAGTGTGTGTGCATATTTTTGGATGATTTACAGTGAAACACTGAACCTACAGTAAGGTGCAGGCAGACTCAATAAAACATGCACAATGTTGGGATCGATGCAGCCAGAGAGGAAATACTTGTATGAGGAATATGGCAGAAGCCATAAGGAAGTCATTCTCTCCAAGTCAGCTCACCCTGATCTGTGCAGGCAAAGCCAGGGGTTATACTTTTTCCTAAATGCATAACTGCACCTTTCTTCCTGTTACTCATACAAAATGCAGAGAAGACTACCAACAGCTGTGGACAGCTGGTCGCTGAGATTCACCTTCTGTTTTCTGGAGTATGCCCACAGGAATTGTGTTAGTTTGCTGTTACTGTAACAAACACCTGGGATAATTAACTTATAAAGACAAAAGGTTAATTTTGCCTTGTGGCTTTGGAGGCTTCAGACTGTGAGTGATTGGCCCTGTAGCTGTTGGCCTTGCCGCAAAGCAGCACACCATGGCAACAGCATCTGGTAAAACCATTCACCATGAGACTGGGACATGATGGGGAAAGGGTGGGATATTAATAACTCCTTCAAAGGTGTAGCCCCAATGACCGGGACACCTCACAATAGGCCCAACTTCAGTGTTCTGCCATTTCCCCAAAGCACCACACGCTGGGGACTGAACCTCTATCACATGAGCCCTTAGGGAACACTTATCCAGGAAACTGTTCACATCCCTGAGTCAATCACTTACCAAGTGTGTACTCAGTGTCTACCGTGTCCTCAGCACTGTTCTGAACGTTGTTCAGACACCTTACCTGCCTTCACGGAGCTTGCTGCTTGGTAGCTGAAACAATAGAATACAAAAAGAGAGAGAGAGAGAAAAAGAGAGAGAAATGGACAAGGCCATCTCTGATTGTGCTGTGCTGAGGAAAATGAAGCCAGCAGCATGCCATGGGCAGTGACAGGGATTGAGGGGGACTGAGGACTCTGTTGAGAGAAATTGGGGGTTTGAGCCTTCACCTGGATGACAGAAAGCAGCTGGCCACCAGAAAGTTAGAGAAGAGGGGTCATTCTAGGAGAGAAATAAGCTAGTTAAAAAGCCAAAGGCGCCGGGCGGTGGTGGCGCACGCCTTTAATCCCAGCACTCGGGAGGCAGAGCCAGGCGGATCTCTGTGAGTTCGAGGCCAGCCTGGACTACCAAGTGAGTTCCAGGAAAGGCGCAAAGCTACACAGAGAAACCCTGTCTCGAAAAAACCAAAAAAAAAAAAAAAAAAAAAAAAAAAAGCCAAAGGCAGAGAGAGGGCAAGCCGGTATGTTTGGTGTGAGGTGAGGTTGGAAAATGGGCTGAATCCTCATGTAAACTTTGAAGGTCTTTCTTTGTGAGAGCAGCATGTGCACTAGGCACAGTGGGACATTCCTGCATTCCCAGAACTGAGCTGGGGGTGGGGGGAGGCAGGAAGAAATTGAGTTTGAGGCCAGTCTGGGATGTATAGTAAGATCCTGTCAAAAAAAAAACCAAATAAACAAACAAACAAAAAACAGAGGAAGAAGTGGAAGAGATGATAGAAAGGGAGAGAGCAGAAAGGGAGGTAAAGAAGGGGGAAGGAAGGAGGGATGGAGAAAGGGAGGGAGGGAAGGAAGGCAGGCAGGCAGATGGGAAGGAAGGAAGGAAGGAAGGAAGGAAGGAAGGAAGGAAGGAAGGAAGGAAGGAAGGAAGGAAGGAAGGAAGGAAGGAAAGAAAGAAAGAAAGAAGGAAAGAGAGAGGGAGGGAGGGAAGGAAGGGAAGGAGAGAAGAGGAGAGAGAGGAAGGGGAGAGGGAACACTGTGTAGCCTCCCTAAGGAAGGGAGATTAGTATTGCACAGCCTACACCATTCCCATGAGTCTTCAGGTAACAACTAAGGAACCTTCCTAAAGGGCTGAGGAGATTCAGTCTATAACCCATTGGTCTAGAGACAGCGGAACACTGTGGGGAGTGCCCAGTGACCTTGGAGGCACTCCGTGGTGTTTCAAGTCCTTGCATAATTACACTGTCATATCAAAATGGACATGCCACTGCCGTTTCATTTTCCAAGTTACTCAGAGGAGGGAAGCAAAGAGCCAGGGGAGGAGAATGGTAAGATGAGGGAAGGGAAAGGAGGAAGTGATTTAGAAGGATGGGAACCTCACCAAAAGGACGTGGCAGCCTGGGCAAATGACAAAGACCTTGTTACTACAAATTTTAAAATGTTATGCTGCTATGCCATTCGTCTATTCCAGAATTAATTATTTAATGCCTGCCTTCTGTTTGAGGGATTCTAACAGAATGAAAAATGTATTAGGAGAAAAAAAAGACAAAGCAGACAGAAATCCTCCCTTGTGTCCTTACATTTAGAGAGAAGGAGACAGATTATAGGCAAATAACTAAGTAAATTCATTTCTGTGTTATCTCAGTAACAGGGATAAGGGGTTGTGTGTGTGTGTGTGGAAGGAGTGTGCATGCAGGAAGAAGCCAGAAGAGAATCTCAGGTGTGACTCCTCAGGTCCATCCACCTTGTTCTTTGAGATAGTGTCTCTCATTGGGACCTGGAGCATGCCAACTAGGCTGACTTGAGTGGCCAGCAAGCCCAGAGATCCTCCTACTGCCTCCCCAGTTGGGCTTATAAGCTTTCACTATCATGCCTGGCTTTTTGTGGACACACTGGGGTAGAGTTCTGATCCTCATACTTGTGTAGCAAACATTTTATTGACTGACCCTTCTTCCCTGTCCCTGCATATCCTTTTATAAAAGGGAGACATGGCCCATGGAGACAGTGTCACTTACTAATGGGTGATTATAAACATCACTCCATCCCTGGTGCTGAGTTCCTATTGCATGCTTCAGTGGCTGGTTCCATCCAACCCCAGGACAGTGTGGCAAGGTATATAATATAAGATGTGTGTATGGTTATGTATTTCAAGTATAGCATAACTAGGAACAAAACTAAAAGTCCTGGTAAGGAGAGGAGTCATCAATAACTATCACAACCAAGAGGAAACTTCTGGAAGAACTGAAGGAAGGTAGAGCTCAGGCAACAAGGAGAGTTACAGTTGCCACACAAGCCCTGAACTTCTCTCTGCTGCTACCTGTAGGATCTGTGAGAAAGGACTGGACTCCTTTAGCTTGGAGAACAGGCTGCTGCAAATGAGTGCTTTCTGGTAATGAGGAGGAATGGTTGGCCCATCTGGTGGCAATGAGCTGCTCAGAGGACCGTGGTGTCTGTCAGTATGATACAGACCTGGACCTGGAATCCATTTAAGTCAAGGGTTCTGTTCTCCTTGATACCAACAACAAGAGGCAAAGTCAGAACTAAAAAACTTATCAATTAGAGTGCCTGAGCTGTGGAATTAATTAAAATACCCAAATGGGTCCCCTGAGGTCACTGAGTATGTGATAGAAAGCATCCATCTTAATCATGGAACTGATAAAGAGCAGGGGTGACAAAGACAAATATACTCCTATTTAGGAGAGGAGAACCTGTATTGTGTGTGTGTGTGTGTGTGTGTGTGTGTGTGTGTGTGTGTGTGTGTGTGTGTATGTGTGTGTGTGTGTTTGGGGGGTGTGGGATGTTTGTGTGGTGTATGTAAGTGCTGTGTGTGTATCTGTGCCTGGATGTATGTGTGTATGTGGGGGTGTGGGGGTGCGTGTGTGGTGTATGTGTGTGAGTGTGGTGTGTGTGTGTGTGTGTGTGTGTGTGTGTGTGTGTGTGTGTGTGTGTTTGCTTGTTTAGTTTTGGATTTTCGCTGTTTGCTCATTTCACTTTTTCTGCACACTAACATGGTTGCTCCGATTCAAGGACCACAGTCAGGTCTTCTGGTTTCAGAAACAAAAATAAACTTTAAGAGAACTTGAAACACACAAATCAAGTGTCTATGTGTCTCTCAAGCATGGAGTGCCATGTTGCTCTCTTCCAGCCAGAGTGCTGCTGTAGAGAGAGGGGGTGGCTGGTGGCAGGCACTCTGCCTGAGCTGTCGTGGTTCTAAAGGGCGAGTTTTCATTATGAACTCTTGTTGAGCAGGGATAGATCACTTGGCAGTATTTCCTTCCCAGCACCACCACTATTTCCTGATTGCTTTTGACTTGGAACTGGGAGAGACCGTTGACACCTGGGCACATCATTTTATTTACAATTCAGAGCTATATGAGCAAAATTTTAATTCATGAATGATTGTTGAGCAGCTCCCACACAAGGGACCATCCCAGTATCCTTCCAGAACTTAGCTTCAGCATCACTAGCCCAGCCATGCAGGCGTCATTAGTCTATTTCTGCCTTAACTTGCCTAAAGTAGTTTAAACACATTTGGTCTTGTGTTTCCTTAAATGAAGCTGGTGAACAGTTGGTCAGCATTCTTAGAATGTTACTTTTTCCACCCAGTTAGAGGAATGCCCTTAATTCAGGGATCACTGAATTTTTAGAACTTGAGTTGAGATTTAAGATTGGGGAGGGCTTGGAAACCAGAGATGTGGATCAGCACAGTGTTAGTATTGGGACCACCATCCTCAAGATAACCTAGCCTGTAGCTGGTACCAGTCATAGCAGGTAACCTGAATGCAAATGTCTGTTTATTTTAGTTGATGCATGTGTGTGTCATGTGTTGATGCTCATTTAAGTATGTGTATATGCGTGTGTGTGTGTGTGTGTGTGTGTGTGTGTGTGTGTGTGTGTGTGTGTGTGTGAAAACCAAGGCCAATGTCAGGAGTCTTCATCTGCCCTC